AAAGTTCACTAACCAATCCTTATGTCCAGTCATATGGTTAGAGCAACCTGAGTCAAGATACCAAGACTCACTGCCACAGCTTCCTGTTGTCATCATAAGTTGCACAGCATTGTTGTCAATTTCATCATCATCTTCCTTGGCAAGATTCACTTCTGTGTCCTCTTTTTGATGATGGTGATATTGCTTCTTGTAAGATGCTTGACACTCAGATGCAAAGTGTCCTAATCTGTCACATTTGAAGCATCTTACCTTCTTCTTGTCTGTTCTTTTCTTCCAATTCTTGCCTTGCTTATCAGAATTTCCTCTGCTCAAGAAGTCAGTTTGATCTCGAGGGATCCCATTGCCTGATTGCAAGTCTCCTCTTGAGCTGCTATTCTGCTCAGTTGGTCTATAATTGTTCCTCCTTGGCCACCTATCACTGCTTGCCCTTCTTCTATTAACCTGAGCCTGCAAGGCTTGATGGGAACTTCTGTTGGCACTTCTCTCTATCAACCTCTGCTCATGAGCTTCAAGTGAACCTTGGAGCTCTTCAACCTTCATCTTCTCAATCTTTCCAGACTCCTCAATAGCCACCACCACATGATCAAACCTTGGTGCTAGAGTTCTGAGTATTTTTTCCACAATGACAGCATCCTCCATTTTCTCACCACAAGCCTTCATAGCATTGGTTTGAGTGATTATTCTTGTGAAAAATTCAGAGATTCTTTCATTTTCCTCCATCTGCATCAACTCATATCTTCTCCTCATTGTTTGCAGCCTTACTTTCTTTAGTTGTGCAGCTCCAGCATAGTGTTTATCAAGGATTTCCCAAGCTTCTTTCGATGTTGCAGATCCTGCAATCATTTCAAAGTGTGCATCATCCACTGCTTGATGCATGAGGCAGAGTGCCTTGCAATCTTTCTTCTTGGATTGCCTATATGCACTTCTTTGAGCTTCATTAGCTCCAGCTTCTAGGGAAGGGAATCCTTCTTCTATTACTTCAAGCACTTCATGACTGCCAAATAAAGCCTTCATCTGGATGCTCCATCTTGACCAATTCGTGCCATTGAGAATGGGAAGATTAGTTGCAAAATTTCCAGTAGATTGAGCCATTGGGTTGCAGCGGAAAGAGAAGAAGAAAAGATGGATCTTGTTCTTGCTCTTGATACCAAATGTTAAGAAAACCTTTTGAAAGATTTGTGAAGCAGGAAACAGAGAGGGAAGAAAGAATGAATGGAAAAATAGAGAGAGAACAGAGAGATGAAGTAAAACGTGTTGTGAAGGAAAAATTGAGTAAAGTGTGAGTGATTGAGGGAATGGAATTCTATATATTTATTTTCCAAACACCAAAGCATTTATACACATATTTAGCACATGGGTTTTTAACTAACAATAACCACATGCTAATATTAGAAAGTTCTCTAACTAAACTAACTAACTATCTCTTTTTGGCTTATCTTTAACAGCCAATACATTTAATATGTATGAAATTCCATCTATACACTTTTTCTATCTCTCTCCACTTCATTACTTGCTTGATGAAAAACAATGAGGAGATTTTAGTCTTTTGCAAACAATAGGAAGATGCATTCACCTTTACTACGAGTCACATTTTCTAACAAATACTAATTAGACATTATCATTATGCCTACTGAAAATGAGGTGATATAATTGGTTTATTTTTCTAGAAAATAATATATAGTGACTATTAGAAATGAAAACACAAAACATAGATTCAAGATTAAGCCTCGGAAAGCATAACTAGAATTGAAAAGACAACTAATACAAGTTCACCATATTAATATTGTTGTGCTGAGTGAAAGAACAATTAATTTGGAATTGGAGGATAAAATAATTTATTTATAGAGAATGGACATGAATTGCAATGTTGTTCATTAATATGAGTATTATGAGGATTACTAACTGATTATGAAGACATAGAGTGTAACAAAAGCGAGCGCACTTTATTATTTAATTTTTTCGGTACATAGCAGCAGCACTTTATTTAACCAGCCACATCATATGCAACTGCAAAATTCAACATAATGATATTACTTCACAAAATAAATATTGAAAAAATGTCATTTTGTAACTTATAAGAATTCATTTTTCTCCTTCCAATGTTCCAATTTTCTCCTTCTGCCTGGGCGTCATACTTTCATGCTAGTGAAATTTGATATCGTGTACCTAACGCAAGAATAAATATCAATAAGACATTGGTCTAGTGTTATTAGGTTCTGCTGGATTCTAATGATAACTAAAATGTCAATGATTCGATTCTTGTGAGCAACACTTGTTGGGAGGTTTAGTCACAGATCTTGTATTACTAACCTATTAACACTATACCAACACCTTGTGAAAGCTAGCTATTTAACAACCTTATTCTTCAATTTTTGCTCTTTCACAAGGAGCCCAACTCCTCTCCGGTACTCTGGATAGTCTAGTACTGGATTACTATGGAAAATGATGATTGCAATTTATATTATTAAAATATAAGTTAAAAATATGACTCTTGGATTTTTATTTTGGAAACATGTCATAATCTTAAGGTGGTAATGGACTCTCCAATAATGGAGTGGATCCAAATTCTTTCCCAAGTGATACTAAAGTGTTATTATGGTAACGAAAGTGACTCATCATATATATAAATATATATGGGGAGGGATCCACTTACTCCAAGAGTAAGTGAAAAATATATACTCTTCATCTTAGTTATCAAATCTTGAAAAATTCAATGGTTTAGATGTACTCACCAATTCAAACAATTGGATTTTCCAAGAATGAAAGATCATGATGTAGAGTAAGTGTTTTTCCACTTACAACAAACTGTGTAAACTGTATTTGAGATGAACTGAAAATCAGTTTATTGGAATAGAAGATTAAATAGATAACTCACTTACAATGAGGATGTGATCTTCATATGAGATTTTATGCATTAGAGTAGGAGTGATTGCTTATATAAGAAGTGATTTTGGTGCATGAGATGTGGATTAATTATAGTAACTAATACAGAAGCGCCAAAGGTATTGTGAAAGATACTTTCATTGGTGTTCTAAAAACACACCCCAATAAAGATGGATTTATTTGTGATTAAAATATATATAATCAAAAACTACATATAAATTGCATACCCAATGAATCTTTAAAGTTATTATTCAAAATTATAAAAAAATTATGAAGACTCTACGCATATATTCAAACCGATACCAACTTTTGTTATCAAATATTTGAACTAATGGAGGAGAAATATAACACTATAAAACTAAGTATATATTACTCACCAAACAATTTTGTATATATCGTATAGCAAATAAAGAAGAGAAAAGATAGTACAAAAAGACAACACAATTTGCTTTTCCTCTTTGTTGCAAAATAGTGAATGAAATTTCTCTCTCAAGTTGCTTTTTGCTTTTTACGCATTCAACCCTTGTGGCTCTTTTTCATGTCATTTAGTAAGATGATATATATCATTTTCCATATTACAATGCAATGTTCTTGTTTGAATATTAAAATAGTCATATTTTCCTCTACATCTCTCTGTATTTTGGGTTTGAGGACATATTTTCCATTCAATTCTGAAGTCCTGACATGAAAACTTCATACCATTGCCATTCACTCTTTCTCCTGACCAAAGCTGAAGTTAATTGATTTACTTACACTTGATCATACTGTTGTATGTACTATATTTTGTCAACTTGTCAAATTGTCATACATTAATTAATCATAAAAATTTCTCTTTCTACAATACTATACACTTGTTTAAACACTTGATCATTCAGTTACATTAATTATCTTGTTTAAATATATATATTTTTCATTTTATTTGACACAGTTTGTCAGAGGTTAAGTTTTTTTATTTTATTTAACAGCATCTGGGTGAAATGTCTAGACAGACTCCATTATTTAAGGGGAAAATTTATGTGGATAGTGTAGTTTGACTACTCTATCACACGTTTAGTATATGTTTGAAAAATATTATCGGATTAGTGTAACTTTTGTGAGAATCATGTATAGCATCCACGACTTAGAGAAGTCGTGTACAGGAATGAAACTACATGCGGCAGAGTCGTGCACTAAAGGCACGAGATTGGCATCATCAAATAACTCAAAAACAAACATAAGTCGAGTCCCTTGACTTTTCATCACAAGTTCAAAGTTATTATTTATTAACTTTTCGGCTTATAGGTAGAAAAAAACAAACATTACTCTTGTTTAGATTAAAAGTCAGGTTCATCTGTTCCTTGCTTCATTAATATAGATTAATTGAGGTAAACATAGGTTAGATTTTAGAGTTAATTATAGTGATACCCAATTTTAATGAATTTATGTAGACTACCCCTCTATTTTTTATCCCTACGAAAACCCCCTGAATTTTGTATATACATTATATTGACTACCAATGCATGTGAAATAAATGTAATTTTTTACATAAAAATGGATGATAAATATAATGAAATTAAACATGTAGAGACAAGTCAAAATAGTATAAAGTCAATAATTTTTCATTATTTTTGGTTCATTACAAAATATATCAATAATTATATGAAAACATTATTTAAATCACTCTTATATAATATTATAATGAACAAAAAATAATGAAAATGTATTGACTCGTAAACTATTTTGATTTGTCGTTACAATATATCATATTTTGTTTAATTTCATTACATTTATCATCTTTTTTATTTAAAAATCACATTTATTTTACATGCAAATATGATCGGTGTAATGTATATAAAAAAATTAGAAATTTTTTAGAGGTAAAAAATGGAGATAATCTATGTCATTTCACTAAAACTGAAGGGTCTTGGTATAATTTACTCCAGATTTTAAAACACTGAGGAGATAAATGCCAATTAGGATACATATAATTACGACCAAAGGGGATTGCTTATAAGATCTGTGTCAATGAGGTTAATAGATTTAGTTGTTTGATGTTATGATTGGAGGAGAAAAAACTATGCAAAATTTGGAGACTGTATGCTACTGAACAAATCTGAAACATTTAAAATAATGATAAATAATTAACAACATAAGGGACTCGTGAATAGGCTGCACCAGTTATTTGATGATGTCAATCTCGTACTCTTGGTGCACGACTCTGCATCAAGGAGTTGCACAAAAGTTACACTAATCCGGTAATATTTCTCAAACATACTAAACGTGTGATAGTATAGTCAAACTACACTATCAAGTAAATTTTCCTATTTAAGAATGTACAGTAATCTGTATGTTCTAACACTTCATTCTCGTGTCCTAACACTTCTGAATAGACAGACTCCAATTATGAAGTTTTTCCAGCAATTTTTTCTCCTCTGACCCGAGCTTGGTGCCATTAGCAAGTTCTTGCAATTTAATTTGATTAATATGTTAAAAAATGTTGGTTTTCACCTTTCACATAATTGTGATTTGGTACCATATCAAAATTACAGTGTGATATAATTACGATAATCATCACAAACACAATATTATGATAGAATGACGATGCGGCCTGAAATTTGAAACACCAACTAATATGCAGCCATGGGATTGTGTTTTTAAGTTTTAACACAGACCACCGTCCCTATAGGATCCATGTTAAAATTTATTTTTAGTAAGATTGAAATAAAATTTACTAATCCTCGTACTTGTATTAAAAGATTAGCAATGAAAAAAAAACAGTAACAGTCATTTCCACAACATTTGCAAACTTGAATGTAAATGGTGGTATGTAAAGATGGATCAGAATAATTGGCTTGATTTCTCTAAAAAGAGAAATAAATCGCACAGTAATATCAGCTTCGATCATCTGGGGAAAAAATCATCACTTCCATCTCTGACATTGAAAATTACTACTAGAGTGCTACAACTAAAATGACAAAGAACACAACGATTGTTTATGCATTTAGTATAAGAAACCCCAATGCTCATTACTACAACTAAAAAATACCGAATGACTATGAACCATAACACCATATACTTTGGAGTTTATTAACTATAATCTACAATATTGCATATATCTTTCATTTTTTTCAACTTGGATTGAAATAAATTTACTAATACAAAATATTATAATAAGCAAACATTGATATGCAAAGATAGATCAGATTAATTGGCTTGATTTCTCTAACGAGAAATAAATCGCACAGTTATATCATCTTCGATCATCTGGGGAAATAATCATCACTTCTATCTATGCAATCAACAACTAGACCCAAAGCATTCAAAATTTCAAAGTAAAAAAAACAACAGAACTCAATTCAACCAAATAAATTATCAACAGAACAGAAGAAATTGCAGGGAGGAATTACTGTTGCATCAGCTCATACACGATGCCCATTAGGGTTTGAAAAGTGGAATAAGACAAACCCAAAAACTTAAAACTATTTCTAGAACGAAAAAGGCATAAAAGATTGAAGCTTGGAGAGAATAATTGGAAACGAGAAAGTGGAGGTGTTTATAAAGGAGAGGGTGTGAGGAAGAAACCCTAATTTGGTGTTGTTTGAGCGCAGCGTAGAAACTCGAAATTGCAAGAAACCCCTTATTATGAAAACGGGTGCAGGTCTACGGAAGTAACCCGGTGGGCTTCTGCGAATGTTGTTGTGGTAAAAGAAACACTCAACTGTTGGATTAGCCCAATACCCAAATGAGTGTATATATTTGGTTCATAATTACTCAAATCATACCAAACAAGATACTAGTCTAGTGATATAATGTCTCACTATATTCTCAGGATGACCAAAATATTACAAGTTTGATTCATGGGAGTAACATTTGTTGGAATGACAGTCAAACACTTTAAAAGGAATTAATTTCTTACCGAAAAATATAAGGAGATATCATTAACAATACCAAAAAAAACTAGTCAATGTGGTTTTTTTTGGATAATATCTTTAACCTCATAATTTTTTATAAGATGATCAAGAGTTATTCAATGGTTGATATATTGGATGTAAATAATAATAGTTATATTTATAAATTTATTATAATTTTTAAGTAGCGTGTAGATAGATATTCTCGTACTTGTCGGCCCATATTCTTACTTTCTAGTATATAAATATTTCATTTTAAATAATTAATTATATTTGTACTTGATATTATAATTTTCGTGATAAAAAATATGAAAATGAATTGTGATATTATTAAAAATTGCATTGATTGTTTGATATTTTTTCGTATATGTAACTTTCTCTAATTTCCATTAATATTTTTTTATTGTGTTGGAAAGTATTATAATTTTAGTTAATTAAAAGGGCAAATCATGTAAGAGGAATGGATATTCATATATAGCCCATATGCATTAATGTCATTTATCAAAATAGAGAATTTATATCGATAAGGGCAATATTGGAATTAAAAAATTACGTTTGTTCAATTATAAAAAATATCTCCTTACTTTTTTTATAATGAACTAATCTCTTTTGGAGTGTATAACTACCCCAACAAGTATTATTCACAAGAATCGAACCCTTAATATTTTAATTATCCTATGGATCTAACAAAATCTTACACCACTAAACCAACGTCTTCTTGGTAATATTATATTTATAAAAAGGGTGAATACAATTAATTCATCATCAAATAACATATATGACCAAATAAAATACAAGTATTTGGGTTCTCGTAATTCGGAGAAGCCCAATTTGAGAAATTGCTCCTTGTAAAGTAATATTCCTAAGTTAGAAAAAAAATATAAAATTAGAAGGTCAAGGATTAACTATGATGTGGTTAACCCACATGGTACATAGAGCAAAAGATATAGTAAGAAAAATGCCTATCTTCTTCAGTAACACATTAAACCCTTTCTCACTTTTGATCCCAACATACCAAATATTTTCTTCTCCATTCCATTTAATTTCCTCAGCTGATTTTGTAACATCTTCAAGGTCTAGTTTCCAATTTTCCACTCGCTCCTTCAAATAAACACAATGCATCAAAAAAAGTTCAAAGATTAATACAATGGCCTTGAATTTCCTATAGAAAACCCATTTGTTCTTCAGTTTAATCTTTGTTTCAATATTCTCTATAGAATGATTATTATTTGTCATAACAGGATTGAGTTGAACTTTGACAGTTTGTGAAGGAACTATTTGATGAAAGAATGTTTCAGCCACTGGACCACTTGAGACAAACATTTTAGTTTCCTCAACAACTTCAAAGCCTGTAGAATTTGAATAAACAATGTTACTGTCATCCATGAAATTCTCATTTGGGTCATTATTATTGATGAACCCCAATGAGAAATCGTTGATATCACTGTCATTGAGTTCTTTGATGCAATTGCCTTCATCAGATTCTACTGAAAATAAAATCTATGGTTAATATTATTCATGAAAATGAGAAATTAGATGACCAAGGTCATGACAAAAAAATCAACCATATATATATATATATGCAACAAAAAATTATTTAATACCTTGGAGATCAGTACTCTCTTCCCTGTCTATTTGGATGATTGGAATATGCTGAATTGGAACAACCTTTTGCTCTTCCATAAAATTCTGTCCAATTATGCAAATAATTAATCATGAAAGCTTCAGCTTTTATTCACTAGAGACTATCTTTAGGGTTTTTAGATAGGAACACTAATGTACATTGTAGTTGTAAATTTTTATATTTTCACTATATCATCTATTATTCATATCTAATTATTATTGACTCTTAAAATATGCAAATGAATGGTAAATAATATATTGACTATATATAAATCTTTACATTAACAATACACATATATTACACTCATAATAAATTAAATTGGACAAAAAAAATATTATTTTGATGCATCATTATACTATCACTATCATGCTGCTAGTGTATAATATTTGGCATGTGAGATGCCTAGAAAAAAAGATATGTGTATTGATATTGTAAAAAAATTACTATTCACCATTTATTTTCTATCATTATTTACTCTTAAAAAAGTAATATTAATGAATGATAAATGATATATTAACTATGTATAAATCTTTATACTCTTAATCTTAATGCAAAAGAGAACAAAAAAAGATTTACTTATAAATTTTTTAATGCAATTTGGCATACATAAACTTAATTAAAAACTATATCTGGGACTTTATCTAAAGAAAATAATGGATTAATGAGATTGGAATGAGCAAATCCTATGTACAAGGGACACTTTAACATTAAATATTAGCTTTATTAGTACACCATACCTTTTCTAAATTATTGCTTGACATTCCAACCCATCTTAAGTTCTCAACCATCCTCTCTGCCTTGAATTCATCATCAAAATCTCCAATCTCTACACCTCTTGTGTTTTGATCTTCCCATGTTTGGTCAACATACCTCATGTAGTTCATATCATTTGTGTGATTATCATTAACCATAAAATTAAAATCACTTTGATCATGTGGTGTATAATAATTTTCATTTCCACTCATCAATGCATGTGAATTATTGGAGGATTGATTAATCAATTCTTGGGCTTGAGCAACTGAGAGAATTTCCTGCAAGATATCTATTTCATTTCTATGAGTACTTCCACACATTGAACCTGATGCTTGTGTCATCTTCAGCTCAGGGAAATCCTCCACTTCCAATGGAGGCATGGAAAACCTATGTTGCATCCTTGCACACTCTAGTGCTATATTCACCTACAAAACAAGTCATGTGCATCAAGGACAGGACCATATAAAATAAAAAAAGTATAATGAATAATTTAATAATAGGGGAAATACAATACATTCACCTTTCTTAAATTTGACTTATTTAATAATATATTTGTGAGTTAGTTTTTGAAGAATTAAATAAGGTAAGAAAAGGCTTGAAAATCATCGTACAAATATATTTCATGACTCTGAAGTCTTCCCCTTTCATCCATTACCATACAAAAACTAACTCGCAAACGAATCATTAAGGTGTAATTATACTTATCATTCTTGTATTAGAGGAAAGTGTATTATAACTTATTCTCACTCAAGAAGATTATTATTTTGTAAGTAAAATGGATGTCCAGTATAATTAAATGAAAGACAAGTTTAATAAATGTATTAAGTGCGTTAATTAAGAAAATAAATAAAATAATTTGGATCGGAAAAAAATTTCTTTAATACATCAAAAGAGGATCTTGAATTAAAACTTTGAATGCTATATTACTCATTTTATATTATTCCTTAAATACTACCCTTAAAACATTCAACAGATTCCTTTAATCAAATCATAAAAGAATTGAATGTATAAAATCCCCTAATTATAAAGTTTGTGAATTTAATGTATGTGCATAAAAACTTGTAGGTACCTTTGAAGGGGGGTAAGGTAAGGGGTAATTGGGAAATGAAGATGTTGGAAGATTGAGTAATGGATCTTCTGATAAGATTGGTGACCATTTCCCATTATCCTTTGTCCCACCATTGATATTTATTGAAGTGACACCTATGTTTTGGGTTGAGCATGTATCCCATGGTACCATATAATTTGAGCCTTCCAAAACTTCTCTTCCTTCATTGTATAGTTTGATGCTTGATGATTGATCACTTGTTAGGTGATTTGCATGGTTGGTGACATTAACATAGTGCTCTCCTACTTTTGGTGTAATCACTAGACTCTTCTTGAATATACGGCAAAGAGCATATGCATCCTGAAATTATATGTTTTAAATAAGATTAATTTCTTTAAAAACAATATAACTAAAATGAATATTCCCCTTTCCAAACAAATCAATGATCCATCCAATTGGTATTAAACTGAAAACATTTATAATAAAAGATAGATGATCCATCCAATTGGTATTAAACAGAAAACATTTATAATAAAAGATAGAGTTAATTACGCTAATATTTCTTGAGTTTTAGTGAAATTATACAAATTATCTCTTTTTTGTCCTTCTACAAACCACCTCTCCATCTTATACGAACCACCCCTAATTTTGACATGTATTACATTGACTACCCCTAGATATAAGTGTAATTTTATAAACAAAAAACGTGTGGTGGGTGTAATTAAGTTAAACAAAGTATTATATATTGTATAGATAAATTCAAATAATACAATAATCAATGTCTCTATTATTATTTTTGTTTCATTACAAAATACGTTAATAATTCTAAGGAGTTTCTTATATAATTCTTATACTATTTTTGTAACGAACCAAATAATAAATACGTATTGATCCTTATTTTATTTGGATTTGTCTATACAATATACAATATTTTGTTTAACTTAATTACACATGTCACACATTTTTTGTTTAAAATATTACAATTATATCTAATGCATGAGTGATCAGTATAATATAAGTACAAAATTAAGGTGATTCATGTAAGAGAGAGTGGTTAGTATAAGGACAAAAAGGGAATGAGTATTTTGTATAATTTCACTAAAACTTAGGGCGACTGTAATTAACTCTAAAAGTAGAAAGATAAAAGTGCAATTGGAATGACATTATTATCCTCTTAATAATATGACATTGTTATCATTAAAGTCATATGTAAAACTCCTAACTTGCCTCTCCGGTATTGGAGAGGAGTTTTTTCCGTGAAATAGAGGGGAGGTGATCCTCTCTAGTAACCATATTTTAAAAGAGTGAAAATGTCATCATATTTTTCTTAAGGATAAAAGTGTCAAACCATATTATA